ATTCGGAAATTAGTGAATTTGACTTTCTTCAAGATGATAAAAATGAAAAGGAAGAGAATGATGTTAAAGAAGTTGAAGATGAGTAAATTAAGGGGAAAAATTTGAAAATGAATAAAAATGTGGGGGATTTTAATTTTAAAATTTACTTAAAAATGTTGACTTTTATTTTTAGTTATTTTTTGGAAAAATATAAAAATTATTTGTTTAAATTTTTATTATATGGAGGAGACAAGTTTGGAGGTACTTATTGGTTATCCGGATTTTTGATTTTTTTGCGGACACATTTATATTAGGAATGATGAAAGGTTCTTCCTTCGTCGATTTCACTCAATTTTCCCTGTGGCATCATTCAACAAGAGCATGAATAAAGAAAAGATTAATTTTTTGCAATGTCACCAAATACATATAAACTAACAATAAGATCAATATTTTCATTTTTATATACTATTTTAGTAATTTAAAATCTTTTTTAATGGTGATAGGTAGGGTTGTCGGTTTTACGAAATTTTCGGCTAACCGAACCGAAAATCTTTTTTTTTCGGTTCGGAAGATTTTCGGTTCGGTTAGCCGAAAAAAAACCGAACCGAAAATCTTCGGTTCGGTTTGAAACCAACAACCCTAGTGATAGGTATCGAGTAGGGGTGTGCGAGTTTCGTGTTTCGCCTTTCGCGGATTTTCGCGTTTTTTGTACTTTCGCGTTTCACTTTTTAAATTTAATTTCGCGTTTCGTTTTTTAAAATCCGTTTCAGCACGTCCCTGGTACAGAGCTCTGCGTGTTTTTAGTGACCCGGTATTGTGATCTTTTGGGTTAACTCTGTTCTCAAAATATACACACAAATTTCTGCGTCTTTTACACACGAGAGAGTGGTCAATACCATAGGCCTCTGAAGAGAGACATAATTTTGTTAGACAGAAGATAGCCTTATTCTAAGCAAATTTCCCTAGCAAAATCTAAATAGAACGGCAAGTCGTCTCCCCATTTTTTGTAATTTGGCTTTGAGGAAATATATTCAAAAAATTCCCTGAAACGTTGAGAATGTTTTCCTCCCCCCTATTCCCCCACATTTTTTCTTAAATAGCAGCAAAAATAGACCATTTTAACTCATTATTTTTCAATTTATAGATTTTCATTTATAGTTTATTTTTCTTAAATTTGATTAAAAATATACAATTTAAACTAATGACACCGATTAATTCGAATCTAAACGACAAAACAAAATCTCAACAAAACGATCAAATGGGGAAAATGAATAATATTGGTACTTATTTTTTGAACATTGCCAAACCCGGGGTTTTTTATTCAGAACTAGCCCGGGCCGTGTTTTCATGGTTAAAGCTCCGAAAACCATGGTTTTGTCAAAATATTCGATTTCGGGCACAGTCCTGTGCCCGGTCGGAGTGGCAATCTTTCGCCCATCTCCTGGGTTTTTGTATTGACAAGCTTGGTCTGAATCAAAGGTGGGTTGGAACAGTCAGAGGTTTCGGAAATCGGATGAGCCGGAAATTGGAACTGGCTCAAAAATCGGAAATCAAAATTTTTTTTCGGAAATCGGAAGGAAAAAACGTCGGAAATCGGAATTTCGACCCACCTCTGGTTTGAATGAAATTTTTCAAATTTACCCCCATAAATTTAGGGCAAACTTTTCCTTCATTCACACTACAACACCCATTAATGCCTTCACTATCCTACCAACAACAACAACAATATCAAATGCTCCCGAATTACACCAACCCAATGTTGAATCCTTCTAATTCAATAAATCAACCTCAAATGCTCCCGACAATGGTGAATCCTAATAATTCAACAATTCAACCTCAAATGTTCCCGACTTTCCCCAATCCTAACAGTACAACAACTCGACCAAAACTTGAGAATTGTGGTTGGGTGGTTGGAAATATTTCTTTTCAAGTAAATTTAAGAAAAGATGGAAATATTATTCTTTAAATTTAGAGCGGAAATATCAATTCCGAACTTCACGTTAATTTAAGGAAGAACATTACAACTGGAAAAGTAAATAAATTATTGACTAAAACCACCTTAGATACATTCAAATTTATTGAAGAATTATTAGTTGATGATCCTTCAAAGAAAGTTGTTCAAGATGGAGGTCAAATAAAGGTAAATTAAAATCAGTGTTTGGACTAGGATAGCAACCAGATCCCGACGGATTTTTTAAGCAAAAACCCCGACCCGAACCACGATCCCGTCATACTTGCCCCCGAAGGGTCTGGTTGCTACCCTAGTTTGGACTATCAAATTGTCCACTAAAATTTCAGTACTAGTGTAGTTTCCCCCCATAGGCTCCGCCCTTTTTTTACGCTTATGGGAGGGAAACTACACAAGTACTAAAAATATCTGAATATTTTCAATTAACAGAAGGAAATACAAGAAGAATCGGAAACTAAACACAAAAAGGAGATAGAAGATTTAAAAAAAGAATGTGAAAAAATGAAGGTTAGGTGTTCAAATACGGAATACAAATACCAAATGTTGCTTCGACAAATTAATAAAATGAAGAAAAATGAAAATGGAAAAATTACACAAGTAATTTTAATTTTAAATTAGAGCCCGGACGGTATCATACTAACTAGTATTTTATGCTTTACTAAAGTGGCCCGGCGCAAAGGATATCCGGATATTATCTGTCTCCGTGTGGTCTGGAAAAAATTAACCCAATTTTCGCTTATATAAGTAAAGGAACTCTCTCTTTTTCATCCACATTAGGGGAATACTGGAGGATTAAGGCGGATATAAAGGAATTTAGAGGTAGATAGGTGATTTGAAGGGATATCAGGGATTCTGAGTGATAAAGAGGGCTGAAGAGATATTACGTGATGAATATGGATAGTACATTTGGAGTAAATAAGGTAAATTGAATAGATATTGGAGGGTTGGGGCGGATCTCAAAATTGTCAAAACTAAAGGACAGGAAGCAATCTGGGCCCGAGCAAAATCACTACAAGCTCCTTCGAATTAATATCCGAGTTTTTACCCCAAAAATGTTCCCTCTATATTATTTCGATATTTGGGGATTCCGTGAAGATTTCGATTAAATCGTGATTTGGTTGTAATTCTACTTAATTAAAAACTAATTTAATTTTTTAGAAGGAAAAGAGTAAAGCTAAGACCATATTGGATGTTGTTGAAGACGAGGATCCGGAAATTATTAATGATTTTGACTTTCTTCAAGATGATAAAAATGAAGAGGAGAATGATATTCAACAAGTTGAAGATGAGTAAAATAAGGGGAAGAAAGTTTGAAAATTGAAAGGATAAAAAATTGGGGGTTTTTTAATTTTTTGTAACGTTAAAAGTTGAATGTATTTGAGTTATTTTTTAATTTTCTAACTTGATTTTATAAATTTATAAAAAAAAATTTTTTGATTATTTTTGTCTCTCTATACTACATAGAAACGGGGGCAGACCAATGTACCGCAGATCTACAACTTTGTTCAAAGAGGTCGGATACCGGACGGATTGGTATGGTTCGATGCGTCTTGACGAGCTGAATCGAACCATACTAGGGCGTCCCGGATCCGACCACTTTGAAAGAAGTCCAAATCTTCATGGCCCGAAACCCGCAAATACCAAATTCGCTCCGTAATAATTGAAAAAGAATTCCAAAAATTTTATACAATTTTTATACAAATGATGACTTAAAAATATTTAAAAATACATCCAAAATTTATATTTTTTCCTTTAAGAACTAAAGATAGGTAATTGAAACGAATTTTTTGTTAGTTGCTTGTCATGAAAGCGCAAAAAATACAATTTAAGGGTAGATAATTTTAGAACTGTCCAAGACCTAAAAATTTTCAATAACTCAAGACAAACTGAAGACCCTCAAGAATGTGGTGTTAAGTCAATATTAGGGTTGTCGATTAGGGTTGCCGGATCAGAATCCGAAAAAGGCCAGATATGCGGGAAATTTAGTTTCGGGAAATTTCGTTTCGGATATAAAATCCGGATATACAAGGAGTTCCAACTATATACAACAACCCTGTTGTCGGACAAGAACCGAAAATTTCACTTGATTAACCGAAGAACTTGGTAGAACCGAAAACCCTATTCAATGCCAAGAGTCTTGAATAGCTCTAGTACTTTAGAAAAAAATTTTTTTTTATTTTACAAATAAAAAATTGAATTTAAAAAAATTATTTTTCATATTATTAATTATTGAAAATACATGTTTATTGAATAAACCAAAAAAATTTTTTTTTATTTTAAAAAATAAAAGAAAGGAGAAAGAAACATTTTTCGGTCACAAAATTGTATAGACAAAAAAAAGAGGAAAATTGACAAATTTGTTCAAATATTTTTGAAAAAATTATTTTTTTGTCAAAAAAAGAATTTCAATCACCCAAAATTTATTAAATTTTTTTATAAATTCTTTTTTGTCTCCTTCAAACGTTGTGGCGTTTTTGGTAAATGTGTAAAAGGAGCTTTTATTACGTCAATTCCTTCTTCTTGATGAACTTCAGTTTTTTCGTCTAAAAGATAAATTTTTTTAATAATTACAACTTTCTATACAAATTGTAAAACCTCTTCAAACGTCAACTTGTTAGTTAAAAGTGGAGACCAAGAATTTTATACTTTACCGTAATCCACAATGTCCTATTGATCACCTACTGTCCCTATTATCCACAGGAACTTATTTACTTTACCCCATTTTATTTGCGAGCTCAAAATGGTCAAAGTAAACGCATGGGAATCGGTGAAAATACATGGGTTGATTGGCGAATAAATGGTTCAATAATAGGGTTGTTTTGTGATTATATGGGGTGTGTACGTGAAGTAAATAAGTTTCAATCCACCCAAATCCTTTGATACACGACTTAATCCTTAAATCTCCTGATCTTCCCAAATTCCCTGATATCCACCCTCCCAAACCCTCCAAATATCCCTCTTAATCCTGCCAAAAATCCCATGTAAAACTTTACAAGGCAAACTTATATTCAAAAGTTTACAAACTTCCCCCCAAGTTTATTTTATTAAAAGATCAAGTATGTATATATTTACTATTGCCACAGGTATCCAAACAACCTTCTCCTTCACCAAATAAAAGGCGATTAGCATCAGTAAAAACTGCAGAAGCAGAATATGTCAGCGCCTGTTCACGTATAAAACGGGCGCGGTTAAGGCATTTTTCTAAAGGTGAGGTACCATCTTTGCCGTGGGATTCTATGAAGGGGAAAAAATTTTTTTTTCAAATTCTTTGAAAATCCTCTTACCAATAATTGCAGCATTAAGTGCTTTAGCTACAATATCACGTTGAGTTTGTTCAAGTAAATAAAAATTGGTTGAATGACTAGGATCACGGTAACATAAAAGTGAGAAAGCAGCCTTTAAATTTTAAGAAAATTTTGAAGAGAAAAAAATTTTAAACTAGATATCGGAATTTCATACTGTACCGTATCTCGTACCGTAATACCGAAGAATACAGATGAATATTGAGGACTCTAAAAATTCTACAATACCGTTCCCTTACCGTATTTCAAGAAATACTGATGAAAATCAAAATTTTAGAGTACCGGATCCCCCTACGGTACCAGCGAAAAAGAATACCGAACATATTCGATAACGTAATCCGATACAAAAGGTCTTCAGGATTCTTACCGTACAGTACCAAAAATACTGATAAATACAAGGAGCTTCAAAATTCTACGTTAATTGCCCAATGCCGTAATACCAATCGGAAAACATAAAGACACCGTTGGTAGAAGGGATATCACAGGTTGAGAAAAAGTCGGGTTTCTAGACAGATTTCGGATTGGGTTCGGCTTGAAAAATTTTCTCTGATCGGGTTTCGGATCGGAGAAAAGTCCAGGTTTCTGGCAACCCGTGACATCCCTGATCGGTCATCCTTCGATCACAAAATTAAAACAAACATTCATTCTGTGCCTAAGTGCTGCACAACTTTGAACACTTTGCCCATCTTCTACTCCAACATTGCTAATATTATCCATTTTCATTGCAAAACGTGAAATTTCTTGTCCATATTCCAAAAGTGGGGCATAACGAATAAATTGTTTTTGTTCTTCCATAGTTGAAAAACCTCCATATTCTGTTAATTCGTCCTTAGCATCTTCACATTCAACTTCCATTTTAAACCCATCTAAGGTAAGCTCTGAAAAAAAATTTTTTTCTTCAAGAAAAATTTCAAAAAGAAATTTTTTCCCTTAAATTTGTCAAATAATTTTATGTTATACCCACTTTGGGGAAGTGGGTATATTGTTGGCGACCGGTTAATTTTCCCCCGAGGCAGCGCAAAAGCTCTTATTCTTCTTCTCTATTCGACCGTCTCTATTCGACATGGAAAAATTCACCGGTCACCAATAAACCTTAATCAGAACCAAAAAGGTCAGTCAGGTTCATTAGCCCCTGAAAGGTTTAAAAAGAAATGCTACTTTCCCTTCCAATTAAATTTTGATTTATCTTTATTTGCCAATAGAGTTTGGGGTTTTCGAGCCGGGCCGACGTTATTAGGCCGGCCCGACCGAAACTTTTTCGGGCTAAGATTCGATGCCTGACTCGATCCTTCGACCGAACCCCCAACTCTATTTGCCAATAAAACCTTAGTAAAAAGAGAGTTTAAGTTTCTATCCCAGCATTGCAAGTTGAGGGTTCGACCTACTCCGAGGCCCAACTTCGAGGCTCGTTTAGGACAAAACAATTTTTCTCTTCGAAAAAAATTCAATTTTTCCCTACCCAATTCATCTTCATTTCCAGAAACAAATTCACTCGAATCTTCCTCTTTAATAATTGTTGTGCTTGTTGGGGGTGTTCCAACAAGCAAAGAACACCCATTTGAACGCCCATCCCCATTAGACATAGCTTCCAATGTTGTAGCACAAATAGAGGAAGAACTTACACCATCACGACTTTCTTCACTTATTTCCATAAAGTCATCACGTTTTGGAAAATTATTTGTTGAATTGCCATTTTGTTGTTGTGAAGAATTTGTATGTTCATTATCTTCTAAAAAACAACAACAATCATAATTTTTAAGAGTAAACTTGAAAAAGTAAAAACTAAAGAATATTTTCTTAAACTTTCCAAGTTTGCAAGAAAAAACTAGAATTTTGTAAAAAAATTTATATAAACTTAAGCTCAAGTATTATATATAAACTGGATTATCATTGAAATAAACCATTGAATCAGCACTTAACAATAAATAATTGTGTCTGATTGTTACGTTACAATCATCAATGTACGAGTACTTACAAGGAAAAATAGGGAATATTAGTAAAAGGAATGAGTAAATTTCAAATTTCCAAGCAGTGGTGTTAACAACCAAGATTGTCGGTTCATGGAAACTCTACGATATCCGGAACCAAACCGAAGAATGAACCGAAAAATCCTTTCTTCTTCGGTTCAGTTCGGTCCAGAAACGACAACCCTATTAACAACACCCAAACAAAAAGCAAAAAATGACATCATTGGGTAGATTAAAGGCTATTTCAATGATTTATATTTAAATATCCCAGAATTAAAAAATTTTTCCTTTTCTTTCTTACCATTACTCGAACGTCGTTTAACAGGATTATGCAAATCTGTAGCAGAATTCAAATTCTTCCCTTCATCATTAGAAGAACTCGGAATCATTGTAAAATCATCATCATCATCTACAGCAGAAGCACTTCTTTTTCCCCCTCTACTACTTGAAGGACGTGGAGATGGGGAGGATAAATTATTATTATTATTAAATTGTTGTTTAGTTGAAAGTGAATTATTTTCATTTAAATTATTTGATTGTTGCTGTTCTTGAGGTAATGGAGGTAATTCCTTTAAATTAAATAATTTTTTGTGGATGAACAAGGGCCCTGTCACATCTTAAAAAGCAGGAAGGTGGAAGAAAATAAAAGTGGAAGCGGAAAAGATCTAATCCCTGATTTAGGCCAGGGTTGGCCCTCGTCTCCGAAAATCGAGAAAATTCGAGAGATTCTTTTGAAAATTCCCCGTTCCCCCCCCCCCTCGTTGAGGGCCAACTTCAATTTATACCCTGACCCTGCCTAACACCAACTTTTATAATTCTAAAACCCCGACCCCACCCCAGGAATGTCACAAAAGGTAGCTGAAACTACGGACTATTCCCAAATCAAAATCCGATTCGTAAAATATTCCAAAACGCGATCCGATAATTCCTCAATTTTTTCTATTCCCAAACTTGTCTAACCCGAAAAAGGCCCAACTTTTCTAATCAAAAAGATGTTCTAGTGAAAATTAAAAAAAACCCTACTTTAGTAATTTCTTTATACATTTCAATAAAATGCTGTGTTTTAATTAATAATGCAAGTTGTCGATTTGTTTCAAACAAAGAAGGAAATAATTGCTAAAATTGTTAAAATAAGTAAAATAAAATTTATTTATTCAAAAAAAATTTTTCTCTACTGCTCATACTATTTTTTTATTCAAGTTTAGGATTGTTTTCAGAAAAAATTAATTATTATGAAAATATTATAATAATTAGGGTTGTCGGTTCCAGACGAGCCAATGATTTTCGGTTCGGTTCTTCGGTTTCGAATATCCGAAAAATTTCCATGAACCAACAACACCCCTAGTTAATAATGTTTTTCAAAATAAGGTAAATTTTAATATTTTTTAAAAGAGACAAGCCAGAAGGATGAAGGATCGAAGCCTGCCACAAAAATTAAACATTTACCCCACACTTGTTTTTAAAATATGTTCCCCACAAATTTTCAAAATGTTTTACACCAAATTTAATCCAATTTAAACCTCAATTTTATCAATAGCATCAGCCAATTGTCCCTTTTTAACCATACGAACAAGAATTCTGCGTTGTTCCATTTCTTCAAAAAGAGCTTCCTGAACTGAACGGACCACTGAACGTCTAACATTTCCTCCCCCTCCTCCTCCTTGTGGTTGTGTAGAAGAAGAATTCTCCCCTCCATTTCCACCCAATAATCCAATCATTGAATTCATTACAACTTCGGCAACTTTTTCTGCTGCAACTGTTGGTGATTGAGAATCTTTGGAATCAAAAGTTATTGTTGAACCCTTTAAATGGAATTTAAAAAAAAATTCTTTTTAAATTTTTAATAAACTTGAGAATCGCTTTTAGCCAGTTGTTGTGAAAGTTCCCCTCTAGTTCCACCTCCTGTTGCACGATTTAAAGCGTCTAAGGCGCGAGAATATCCTTCATGAGCCATCCAATTTGAAACAAGACTTAATTTAAATTTAAAATTTTTTGGTAATAGTCTAATTCAAGGGCGTAGCCAGGGAGGCTTCTGGGGCTAAAACAGAATTTTTGGGGCACACACCATTTTAGCCCACCCCACCCTTGAAATCGATCCCCTGGCTACATCCTTGGTCTCATTTGTGTGCGACATTTATTTTTATGAGGATTTATAGGAAAGAAGTGGAGGATAGATGGTCTAGAGTAGAGACCGGCGCGGGACGGGATCCCGACGGGATTTTCCGGGATCCCGATCCCGAAATCCCGGATTTTTTTTATTTTCGGGATCATTCGGGATCCGGGATTTTTTCGGGATTACTCCCTCGGGATCCCGTCCCGGCATCGGTTAAAAAATAAAATCCCGACTCGGGATCCCGGAAATTTTTTTATAATTTTCGGGATTTTTATATTTTTCAAAATTTTCGCCTGCGGCGCTGAAAAAGGAAGAAATCTGTCTTAAGGATCTTCCAAAATTCCCCAAATTTTCGCCTGCGGCGCTAAAAACGAGAGAAAATTGGAGTCTTTACTGGAGATAAAGCGGAGGGATATTAGTATATAGTGTGATTTTATCAAGGGACCTGTTGATTAATCCACCGATATCCCTCTAAATCTATTATAGAGGGAATTAAAGGAGGAGGACAATCCAATTATAAAAAATTATTGATATTTTCATAAATTAAATTGTATTTACATATAAATTGAAGTATTTTGGGATATAGTTTAGTCGAGGGCCTAGCTCGAATGAGCTATCATTTGTATAATCGAATTTTTGACCCCAAAAATCACCCCAGAAATTTGACCATTTCGAGTCCTATATCTCGGTTCAAACTCGTCCAATCACAGTGAGTTGGGTGTCATTCGACTCAGCTCGAGGAGCTCTTTCGAATGAGCTATTATTCAGAAAATTGATTTTTTCACCCCCAAAAAGTGCTTACTCCCCCCTTTGGTTTTTCAAATTTCAGGGACCTATATCTCGGTCCACAGGCATTTCCGCACCTGGAGAGTGGTACCGTTCGACTCAGCTCGCCGAGACGAATCGATTGACATAGCCGTATTTTGATGGACTTTATTTATAAAAAGTTAAAATTTTTTATTTTGAAAAAAAAATCCCGAATCCCGGGCGGGATCCCGGATAATTTTTTTCGGGATTTTTGAAATCCGGGATTTTTTCGGGATTACTCCCTCGGGATCCCGTCCCGGCATCGTTTAAGAAAAAAAATCCCGACTCGGGATCCCGGAAGTGCGATTTTGCCGGTCTCTAGTCTAGAGTGGTGTAGGATACTTCCATGTATATTTTAAAGGATCAGAAAAGGCTGACAATAAATCCATGAGATTTAATGTTCTGAAATATTTTAAAAAGTAAATGTGTAAATATTTCTATAGACTTTTATTTCTATAGACTTGACTTCAACTTTAAGGAATGAGTCAAGTAAACAAGTAAGGTAATAATGGATTTTCTTTTGCCGTAGAATAATCTATTCTAATTGAGTTAATTGGATCGTTTCCCAGAGACGGCACTTAATTTGTGTAGATTTAGGAATATGACAAAACCGATATAACCCCTTCAGTCAAAAAAGAGAATTGGATAGAGAAAAAAACGAACCCATTATCTTTTTTTAATTTTTAAATAAAAACCTGTTCATCCACAAAACTTTTTCTGCAGGCAATTCTATAGCATTAATATTATCCATGGTTGCTTTTTCAGCCATTTTTAGTTCTGAACGCATATCAAATAAAAAAGGTTTTTGACCAAAATTAGCGTCAATCTTTAAAAACAACGTCGAATTTAATTTTTAAATTTATTAAAAATTAGAAACCATTTCATCAGCAGTCTGCATTCCAATAGTAGGGAAGAGATCATTATTTAATGGAATGGATAAGGCATTTGCAACGCCTAGAAATATTTTTAAAAAATTTTTCAAGCATATAAGAACCTTGAAAACACAAAAAATGCGTTTAAATTTAATTTAAAAATAATTAACCCCAAAAGGGTTCGAACCCACCACCCACATTAGGGGAAGAAAATAAAAACTAAGCCACTTAACCAAAAAATAGAATTTTTTCAAATAATTTGTTGGAGTTCCAAAAAAAATTTTTTTTGAACATTTACTAATACTAGTTCCCCAAGAAAAAATATATGCCGCTAACAGGGATCGAACCTGTGACCTTGGGCTTATTAGACCCACGCTCTAACCGGCTGAGCTATAGCGGCACACATGAGGACAAATTAAATAAGTAGCTAAGTTTTACTAAAATTTTGATTTTTCTGGGAAAATGTTCAAAAAAAATTTAGACCTTGAAAAATAATTTTTAAAATACCCAAATGTTGTCCATTCTTCGTAAAAAATAATTGTCTAGTCACAAAATTCAATCCACACCCAATAACATCTCCAGTAGTAAAAGTAGGTCCATATTCAACTCCCTTGCCAGAAGACGAAAAGAAATTTCCATCGTCCCCGTGGTATCCATAAGAAATTGGATCCCATCCAGGCAAACGATTTAACGAAACATTTTTCTCAGAAAGTCCAATGCCCATAAATCTGAAAATTTATTTTTTTAAATTTTTTTACTAAAATAAGCAACGTGATTGGGTAATAGATAACCTAATTTGTTAATCTATAACATTTTCGTAATGTCGAATTAGGGTGTTAAATTTAGCTTTAAAGTAAAGAACAGTGCTAGGTATCGGGCAATCCAGTTCCAAGCTCCGGGCTTTAAAATTTTAGCTCAAGCTCTGCTGGAGCACGGCTCCGGAGCCGCTCCTTTTCTCAATTTAATTCTAGTTCCCTAATGATGAGTAGAAACAAAGTTAGAAAATTGACCGTTCCTTTAGAGGAAGTAAGGAAAAATGGGACTATCAGAGATCGGAAATTTTAAAGAACCCTGACCTAGATTCTTGATTTTAGTTGAGTCGAGCAAAAAGAAAATTCAAGGAAAAAAGCAAGGATAATGAGAAATCAAGAAACACTGAAAAATGACTTGATCCGGGCCCAGCAAAAATCAAGGTCTAGGTCTAAATCGCTCTCAAGAAGCTACATAGACCCTTAGAATATTACCTAATATAATTTAAAACTAACCCATCTTGTCCTTTACTAACAACAGTAATTTCAAAATAATAAACAATACAAGAACGTGGAATTGGTCTATTTGCACGAACGGCAGCAGCGTCTTTACTGTTTTGATTAGTTCCTTTGCCTTAAAAAACAAAGAAAATTCTTTAGAATTAAAAAGAAAAAGAAACGTTTAGTAACACGCAAGAAATCGGCAGAAAGTTCCAATATTGGCAATTGCTGGCTAACACTATTATTTTGCTGGGGGAGTGACCAACGATCTGTTTTACTCCAAATTCGAGGCAATTTCTTTAAAAAAATTTCTTTAAATTTTTAAAAAAAAATCAAACTTGAATATCAGTATAGGGATAGAGAAGCTGCAAGCGTTGTAGAACTGCGCCCTCGTCGTAGTCATACATTGCCTAGAAAATAATTTTTTAATAAAAATGGAAGGATGATTTTTAAAAAAGGTCAGGTCATCAGGGAGGAAAATAAGGGTAATTCCAAGTTTCGACCCCTTTCACATCCTATTTATACCCTTAAGACTCTTAAGATGTACTAATAGTCAGACTTTCTTCCATTTTTAATTTCATTCCATTTCCTTAATGTTGAGCAGAAATCATCGTCATATATTCCCTACAGAAGTGAATCGAAGAAAATCGAAAATGGTGCTGGAAATCGAAAATGGCTCAAAAGCCTAAATTTTCGGAAATCGGACGGAAAAAAATGTGGGAAATCTGAATTCCGATTCATAACTGATCCCCTATTTCCCTATCCCCTTTTTACCCAATTCTTAAAAATAAAAGATAAATCCAAACCGAATGCATCGGATCCGGAGGCACAGGAACAATAGTAGCTATAGCAGAATTACTTGTTCCCTCTTTTCCATCACTAGAAAGCCCTCCCCCGCTACTATTCATTGAATCATCATTTCCAAGTACATCCACAATAGAAAAGCGTTGAGCAGAAGAAGAGGAAGAAGACAAAGTATTATTTGCTGCGGAAGAACTGCCAGAAGAAGCTTCTGCCCCGTCAATCATTGGAATGTCATCATTTCTTTGTTGTTCTTCCATTATTTTTATTATTAAAAAATTTATTTTTTTCCTTTAAAAAAATTTTTCAAATAAAAATTGATTTTGAAAAAAAAATATTTACAAAAAATTAAAGTGCATTTAAAATGCAAACATTAAAACTAACGAGTAAAATTGCTTAAACATTGAGTATTTTTTAATAAAATGGGATTTAGAAAAATTTCAAAAAATAACAAAAAAAAATTTTTAGCCTAGAAAAAAATTTTTTTAAGCCTAAAAAAATTTTTTAAATTGAAAACTCAAAGAAAACAGCCTTGAAAATAAGAGAAAAAAACAACGGGACCCAAAAGTACTCGAACCCACACCCCTTAAAAATGTGAGGGGAGAACACTACCAACTGAGCTACCAGCCACATCAAGTAAATTTTTAAATCAATTGTGAAGAATTAAATATTTTAAACTGGTACGTTCACGACCGGTTAATTTTTGCCTGTGGCAGTTCAAATGAGCTTATTCTTCTCTATTTGAGCCGTCACAAGCGTTAGTTAACCGATCGTGAACACACCCTAATTTAAACACCTTAAAAGCTAATTTTGGAAAATGTGCTGGAAAATTTTCTTGAAAAATTCCCAAAAAATTCTAGGCTCGAAACTCTTCGAAAATTTACTGCTGAAATGATATAATCTCCTCTAAAAATGTGTAGTTTTATCATCAAAATAATTAAAAGAAAATACTTTTTTTCTTCTTTTTTTGTTCTCTAAACAACTAAAAATATATCACAAATTCGATTTTCGTACATGTGAGAGAGAGAGAGAACACACACTTCATATATACACATACACGATGTTCACCCTACGACTTCATCACCTTTTTACCTCAAGAGCATTATTTTTTGTTTCGTCTTATTTTTTTCTCCCCAACTATTTACTATTACACCATTGATGTTTTAAAAATATGCTTTGTGTGTTTGTGTCAGTCAACTACCACCACTTTTCAGATGCACCAAAAAACCGTCCATAGGGACAGGAGCCATAGGACAGAAGTATTCACTGGTGGAATAGGGTCCCCTATCAGGGCTGCACGCTATTCAATCTCCATAATCTGCACACCAAGAGCTTTTGGATGATATAAAAATTGTTTAAAAAATTATCATGGATAACAAGGTACCAAAAAAGGTATGCCTACCAAAAATGGAAAGAAATAAAGGGAAATTGACACTAGTTTACACCCACCCATAAGAGAACCACGAGTTAAGAAAATTTTAAATAAAAAATATATTTTAGAAAATGGATAAGGGGATAATAGATGATTATATAATAGATAAAGAGAACAAATAATATGGATGGAAAGGACACTTTCGGATGAAATTTATTAGAGTATGGAACGAATGAAAGTCGTTTTAAGAAAACTGGATTTTGAAGCATATAAACAAGGCAAAGAAAATATTGTTGGCGCTAGCCATAGATTTTATTATCTGGAGGTCTACATATTCTTCCTAAAAACTAAAAAGTTGCGTAATTCAAAAGATTATTTTTGAGTTTCCAACAATTTAAAATTTGTGCCCCGAGGCAATATTTAAATTTAAAATTTATACAAGAAAAAAATTTTTTTAAGAAATAAAATTAGTAAAAAAATATTTTTTAAATTTCATCGGGTAGGGTGATGGGTAACCTTCTCCCATCACAAAAAAATGTAAAAAAAGGAATGAAAAAACGGATTCTCTTTGCGGACAGGGTAGACCGGCAACTGAACCATTTTACCAAGGTGGAGGACTTATTGGTTGAGGACTTGTTATTACTCCTCTCAAGTGGTTTCCCAAAAAATTTATCTTTATTTTTGCCTTGCTATTAGAATTTATGTCTGAATTTTTACACAATTATTTTAGCAAACACTAGAGCCATGGCAATAGTAGTAGCACCACCACCAATTAATATACTCACCAAATAATTCAATGTTTTAACTACTTTTTCTGGCCGCCATCAGGCGGTCTACTTGAGCGTTCATTTTTGCAGAATTTAAAATTTTAAAAAGAAATTTCTCTAGGTATGTTTTCTAATGTTGGGTAGACTGAGGCTTTAGCCAGTCGGTGTTTTGATGATTTTTCTAACAAAATTCTTTTTACCTTTTTTTTGTCTTACAGTTGGATTTATTTTTGTTCTCAATTTTTTACATTTAATTTTTTAGTAATTAAACCAAAACTACCAAAATGTCTGCCATCCCTCCAGCACAAATTATTACCTCTCCAACAAAATCTATTTTCTTCAATCCTGGCCGGAATCAGACAATTTATTTTACAGTATTTTTTAATATTTAATTTTTAAAATTTTTGATTTACCTAGATGCAAAACACAGGAACGAGGATTATTACATTCAAAATAACAACCAATTCGCAAATACTATTTATAAATCCAAGCTCAGGACAAATAAAAGGAAAAGAAGAAAAAATGTTGAAGTAAATTTAAGAGGGTTTTCTAAATTATCAGAAATAATTACAATTGAGTGGATGTGTTCAGTAGTTGGAAAACAAAATTTTATTTGGTATGCGTAGTAGAATCATAACAATTCCTTCATAGTTTGATTTTCATGGTCTTTTGGTAAATAAATATGTTCATAATTCATCAGGTTGAACAATTTCGATATTTGGATTTATTTTGATTTTTAAATGCTTCCAAAGAATGATATGTTGTATATAAAGACTATTTATTTACCAAAAGACCATGAAAATCAAACTATGAAGGAATTGTTATGATTCTACTACGCATACCAAATAAAATTTTGTTTTCCAACTACTGAACACATCCACTCAATTGTAATTATTTCTGATAATTTAGAAAACCCTCTTAAATTTACTTCAACATTTTTTCTTCTTTTCCTTTTATTTGTCCTGAGCTTGGATTTATAAATAGTATTTGCGAATTGGTTGTTATTTTGAATGTAATAATCCTCGTTCCTGTGTTTTGCATCTAGGTAAATCAAAAATTTTAAAAATTAAATATTAAAAAATACTGTAAAATAAATTGTCTGATTCCGGCCAGGATTGAAGAAAATAGATTTTGTTGGAGAGGTAATAATTTGTGGTGGCGGGATTGTGGACATTTTGGTAGTTTTGGTTTAATTACTAAAAAATTAAATGTAAAAAATTGAGAACAAAAATAAATCCAACTGTAAGACGAAAAAAAAAGAATTTTGTCAGAAAAATCATCAAAACACCGACTGGCTAAAGCCTCAGCCTTTTACTAAGCACCCTACCCAACATTAGAAAACATACCCAACATCTAAAATTTAGAGAAATTTCTTTTTAAAATTTTAAATTCTGAAAAAAATAAACGCTGAAGTAGACCGCTTGATGGCGGCCAGAAAAAGGAGTTAAAACTGAATTATTTGGTGAGTATTAATTGGTGGTGGTGCTACTACTACTATTGCCTTGGCTCTAGTGTTTGCTAAATTAATGAAGGTGTAAACATTCAGAGATACTCTAATTCTAATATCAACGCAAAAATAAAGAAATTTTTGGGAAAATCGAAAAATCATTCTTAAAAACATTATAATCAGGCCCCACTAGAAGATACTCCTAAAATCCTCATATGTTTTTAAAACCCGGTTGGCTATTTGGCACAGGAGGGAGAGGAAACATCCTAGGCGATCCTTACTTATTACTACAAAATAGTAATAAGTTTAAACTAGAGTAGCAATCAGACCCCGAACCCCGACATGCCTTCCCGGCAAACCCCGATCCCCGACCCCGAAGGGTCAGGCTACTACCCTAGTTTTTAAACATTACCGGAAAACAAAAAAATATTTTAAATAAACTGTCATTTTTTCAAAGTTTGTCTCAATCAGCTTCCTTCAGAAAGAGTAAAAAGCCATTTTTATCATCTGTTAGTTGAGCAATTTGTTGTTGAAGCTAAAAATAATTTAAATAAAAATAGTTTTATTTCAAAAAATACCCTCAAAAGAAGTTGCTTTTCAGTTTCTGCTTCTAAAGTAGTCATTTCAACTTGTGATGAAATTCTTCCAAGTTTATTTGTAGGTGACAAACGTTTGAGTGTTTTAGAGGTAATATTGGATGAAAAAGAGACCCAAAGTTGGTAGTCTAAAAAAAATTTTTTTCCAATAACTTGAAGCAAAAAATGTTTCTCACTTTTTTGCTTCAAATTTAGAATGAAACAAAAAAAGTTTAAAAAAATCTAAAACTAGGGAAACTACTCAAAAACAAAAAAGCTGAAATTAGCAGTGGTTAGTAACCGAGATTGAATCTTTAATTTAAAAAAATCGAAAACCGACGAAAAAAATATGCTTCAATTATACAAAATAAAGAGATCATGTTTTGCTTCAAAAACAGAAAATTAGATTTCAAAAATATTTTTATTGAAAAATATTTTAAGAAATTTTTAAAAAATGAAGCAAAAACCCAAAAAGCTTGTCAAAAGAAAACAAGAATGCTTCAAAAACTGGAAAATGAAGCACGCTTCAATTACAAAAATTAAGTGAACCATGTAATGTTCAAAGAATAAAATTGAAGCAAAAAAGCTTCGAAAATTTTTTTAAAGTGAAGGGGCGAATTCAGTATTTCTGGGTTCAGGACCAATGGGCATTTGGGTCCGGGGGAGTCTTATTCATTACAATTAATCTAACAATAAGAAAAAATTTACCCTTCGTTACTGCAAGGAAAAAATGAAGGCCCACCTCATTTTAAAGGCACACCTTCCAAATATTCAACAAAAAAACAAACCTTAATTCAAAGAAATTTACGCCCAACAGTCCAAGAACGTCAATCAATTCCAAATTCACTTCCTTCAAAAAAGTTCCTTCGGGAAAGCAAAGCGTGTCAACAACACAAAGCGTGTCAACCTGAGCGTGTCAACAACATGATGAGAAGCTTGTGTTGTGATTTGCTGATTAATTTGAACTAAACAGAATATAAAATAATAAATTTAAAAATTAATAACCAGAAAGAGGTGCAATTCGAATAAGACGTCCATTTTTATCCAAAGATGCATCGGATCGCAAATTGTTTATCCAAGACTTTTTGCACGCATTCAA